CCCCCCCCCCCCCGTGGGTACCCAGCATCTTTTATCCAGCCGTGGTTGTCGTGACAGTGAACGGTTGAAGGTGCCCAGTGTTCTATAACCGAGAATTCGGGGACATCGATCCATCTTCCATGCTTTTTCTGTTCAGTTTTTAAATTCCCGTGGGTAACTGAGTGGAGATTAGGAGAATGTCACTGTAGACTCCAGCGAGGTCTTCCCTGTGTGACAGACGGAATGCTCCGTGAGGAACGGAAGCTCCATTATTGACCTGTCCCCACTCATCCACCGTACGGGGGGCTACGAGGCCTATGACGAGAGCGAGGACGACACCTCTGACACCGGCCCCGATTTCTACATCAACATCTGCCAGCCTCTGAACCCCATGCACGGGGTGCCTTGTCCTGCCGGGGCAGCTGTGTGCAAGGTTCCCGTTGACGGTGCCCCCATAGTGAGTATGGGAAACTCAAGGTGGAGACAAGCTTTGCGAGAGTTTTAACCATAACTGCCGCGTCGTGTTTCTTGCGTTCAGTGGAGGGTTACGCACAAAGAATGGAGAGATGAGCTGGGGCTGTGTGTGTTCTGGGACCAACAGGGGAAGAGTGATGTCAGGATTTGGGCACTGAGCTGGCGGCTGCTGACCGCGGCCAGAGAGTCTCTGAGCTGTGGAAGAGAGCATGAACACGGGGATACACGGGCTGCTCGTATCGTGTTGGGAGTCTCCGGGTTGACCCTGGTCCAGAAACTTTTATGTAAAGTGGCAAGAAAGAACATGGAGAAGGCGTGGCTTCTTTCTTTGAAGTGCACGTCTTGTGTGAAGAACATGCTTATGACCTGTGAGTGATTTTTTTGGAAAATGAATTATTCAGGGCAAGAGCAGATCTGCTAATTGCTGGATACCACCCTGCCTTGAAAGTTTTGGTCTCAAACTAGCCCTTTTTAGTATTGCTTTGGGTTTTTAAAAATTACTTGCATGAATTATCTTCGGGTTTTATCAGATCCTTGCTACCTTTTTTGGTGCTTGTTTATTTTTGAGAGAGAGCAAGTGGGAGATGGGCAGAGAGACAGGGAGACGGAGAATCCCAAGCAGGCTCCGTGCTGTCAGCACAGAGCCCGACACGGGGCTCAAACTCACCCAACTGTGAGATCATGACCTGAGTCAAAATCAAGAGTCGAACACTCAACTGACTGAGCCACACAGGAGCCCTTATTGTTACATTTTTTTTTTTTTTTATTTGAGATGCATCTCAAAAGGGTCCATTTCTATACTTTTATCTCTATGCTTTACATAGTCCTGTTGTAAGATACATAAATGTCCTTTTAAAAATGGATGGTATCTGCAGCATTTGGGAAGAAATGTCGGGAGCGGGTGGGGGAAATTGGCCGTGATACGAATTTAACACAAAGTCCGTAGCTCTGTGAGAAACGTTGGGCCTGGGTGAACCAAATCTTAGATCGGTACAGATCGGTACCCTTGTGTGAATCCCTTTCTGAGAGGTCGGATCTGCTGTGTTTTCCTGCTTGGCTACCCTTTTTCAGATATTAAAAATTGTAGTAAGTTCTCTACGTGGAGCAGGAATTGTGGCCTGAATGTGCTCCATGGTGGTGAACGAGAGCGTCGCGGCTCGCTCACACACACGCTCATCATGCACACACACACCGTTCCTGGCTGTTCAGCTTTCCTTCGTTCATGTGTTTATTTGCTCAGAACTATTTATTGAGCAGCCAGTGTGTGTCAGATGCTGTGCTAAGCAGTATCGTGTCATGAGGCACACGCCTTTGCCCTCCCCAAGGACGTACTGAGGGGCACTGCCGAGGAGACGGGCAATCCCAGTGCAGTGGTGGGCATGAGATGAGCCAGCTGGGGGCAGAGATGTGGGTTTCTGCCTTACACCATCAGGTGATAGAAGACAGTGCAGCATTCTTGATTTGACTGGAGAGAGAAATTCTTGTTGCCTGGAGTCTTTGAAAATTGACCGTGATTAGAAGTAGAATCGTTGTGGGGTACCTGGGTGGCTCCTTTGCTTGGGTGTCTGACTTCAGCTCAGGTCATGTCGTGATTCGTGGGTTCGAGCCCCACATCGGGCTGTGTGCGGACAGCTCGGAACTTGGAGCCTGCTTCGAAGTCTGTGTCTCCCTCTCTCTCTGTCCCTCCCCTGCTGGCACTGTCTTTCTCTTTCTCTCTCAAAAATAAAACATTAAAAAAAAAAAAAAAAGACGAAATAGAATCACGTTATAAACTATAGGATGGAAACTGATAACCGCTGGCCAACTGAAGTTTCAGCCAAGCAGCTTATTATCAAGACTTGTCAAGAGAGTTGCCATTAACCGAGTTTCTTTAGATGCTACTCGGTTTCAAAACAGATGAGCTTGTATATTTGCAGTTCTGTATTAGCTCTTATTCCGCTAACACGGGGAACAATTTCCTGAAATGTTGTTTGCTTTTTTTTCTTTGCTTAGGATATTGGTCGAGTCACAGGACCTCCGATACTCAACCCCATAGCTAATGAAGTTTACTTGAATTTTGAAAGTAGTACTCCCTGCCTAGCAGACAAGCATTTCAACTACACCTCCCTGATCGCATTTCACTGTAAGAGAGGCGTGAGCATGGTAAGTGTGCACCTGTTCACAATTTGGGGGCTGAAGCTTGGACCAGTGAACCAGAGCTGCGAGTCCCAAAAGCGTGCTGCAGAGCTAAGGACGTCCCTACTGAAAATGGGTGCTGTCATAGGTTAGTCAGTGGTGCCTTGAATAATTTAAAACCGTTAATTTAACAGTGAGTAAGCCCATCCTGAATGAACGGGGCAGACTGCCCAGCGAGCTCACTGTGATGTAAAAACATGAAGCGCATGTGAGCCGAGGTGTGGCGTTCAACTTGGCCCACCAGCGTGTAAAAGTGTCAGCTTCTTTTTCCTTCTTAAAAACTGTAACAGTGATTTTGTTCTCATTGGGAAGTCAGACAGACTTTTAGTGGCTGTAATCATTCAGGATGCGACCCCAAATTTAGAAGTTAGCAAACATAAGATCTCCGGAATCAGAACAGCTGTAACAGAGTTGTAGGTGTTACTTCTAAGGAGGTTATTGATTTGTTTTACACGCATTTAAAAATGAGACTGGCTTCCACCCCGAGTACCATTTTGTTGCACAGGGTTTTTGCATACATTTACCCTTGACTTCCACCTGCGAATAGGAGATAGATGGATGGATCACGGCTCCATCATAGTGACTCAGAGCTGCCTGACTCCCGCAGCCCTGCAGTGGCCGCTGGGACCCCCGCCTTCTGCTCAGGTGGAGAGCTCTTTGCTGTAGGCAGCCCGGCCTCACAGCCCCTTATCTGTGCTTCTGAAGTCTGTAGAGCTCAGAAAGCTCCCAACCCTCTCACGTGAAGGGGGGAGGCTACTTGTGGTATTTGTCCACATAAGGAGAATATTCATACATTTTGCTGCAGAAATATTCATGTGCTTGATTCTAGTACTCTGTGTGTATGTGTGGGGGGTGGGTAATAGAAACAAAGGTCTCAAATCACTTTTTAACATCTTGAAGCCGATGAATTATAAAGCTCATCTGCCCCGAGGAGCTCAGGTAATGGATTATGGTTCTGGAATGTGTCTTGTAAATTCAGTAGGATACCTTTCTGATTTCTCAGCCTGTCGCAGGTTTGTAAGGGAAAGAGAGCTCTGGCTGCCGCATAGGTATTTTGACAGCGGTAGGAAGTGACGTGGCCGGGGCCTGATGCCTGATGAGGAGGGACAGTGTGGTAACTGAGAGGGAAGAAGCAAACCTTGCCGCCTGGGCCGTCTCCATGTGGTGCCGCAAAGCACCGCCGGGCCCTGGGACACGTCACTGTTCACAGATTGTCCCGCGACTGTCAGGGTAATCCTGAGTTCTCAAGGCAGGGCGGAGCTCTGATCAACAAAGTCTTCTTATCTCTCCATACTGTGTGCGTTTACGAGGGCGTGTGGGCGTGTCTCAACAGGCACCCGCCGTGAAGGCAGTGTGGCTTACTCTGTAGAAAGGCTTCCAGTTTGGGTATTTCATTCTTCAGAGGGGATTGGTCTTTTGAAGATCCACCTCTCCTGAGGAGCCCTGGTTATCTCACACGCCACGAAGAGAATGTGTGACGGCTAAGTGCTGAAGCTGAATGCACGTGGTCCAGTGCACACACGGGGGTCTCTCCGATTCTCAGAGCAGCAGCGGGTTGAAAGTGAGCAGTGTTTACTGGGTTTCAGAAACAAGGCATCTCACACGAAATGTGCATTCGATTTTGGAAAGATCTTTAAGAGATTTTCTTCCCCCGTGGTTTATTATCTTTCACGGGAATATTTTCTCCACTTATGTTCATAGAAAAACAGATGCTCGGCAGCAACTAAAACCGAGATTCCTGACCAGCTGCCCCATCTGTGTTTTTGTGGCTGTTGCTGAGCGAGGGAGGGCATAGACACGTCAGTTCAGGACACTTGGCCTGTGGAAAGTCGGGCCGAGTTGCGTGTGGCCCTCATGATGAAAACTGTCAGTTGCTACACACGGAGCAGAGACCCTGCTCGTGAGCGAACTGGAGCGCCTCCCGGCCTCCTCTGCGCAGGCAGGGTCTGTTTCACACCCTCCTCTGCCGTGACATCGGAAGAACTGCTAGTGGGGACACGGAGACTGTCTCCAAGTGCGGGGCGACTGGAGGTCGCGAGGGGGCCTGGGTGTGTGGGCACGGCTGCCCGGTGGTGCTGTGAGGGCAGAGTCGTGGTCCCTTGCAGCTGGTGGTGGCGACTGTCCCTCCCCCCGGAGCGAAGCCCCTGTGGGTCACCGAGAGCACCCAGTGGCCTCACAGCCGCGTCTGCGGCTGGGGTGGGGGGCAGGGGTGGCGCCTGCAGCCCCCGGAAGCAGGAGTCTCTCTCTGGCGCTGGCTGGGGCACAGAGCCGTGTGGGGGATGCTGTACTTAACTCTCGTGGCTTTCCTTTTGAATAGGGAGTTCCCATGCTGCTGAGGACCAGTGACTGTGACTTTGTGTTTGGGTGGGAGACCCCACTGGTCTGTCCCGACGAAGTGCGGGTGGATGGCTGCTCCCTGACGGACGAGCAGCTGCATTACAGCTTCAACCTGTCCAGCCTTTCCAAGGTCCCCTTCAAGGTGAGGTGGCTCAGCCAGAGCCCGGCGGCCCTGGGGACACGGCGGCCGGGTTCTTTCTGACAGCCACTTGTGTTTTAAGTAATAGGACACCTGTGACCCCCGAGGCACAGTGTGTTGGGGGGCGGGGGTGGGTAGTGGGCTCAGCGCCGCTCGTGGATGCACAGGATTAGCCTGTCGGGGATTCCGGATCGTGTAGTGAACCAGTCACGGCTAACGCTTGAGTTGTGCTCCATGGTTCAGAGTTTCATTCCTTACGGCTTTGTCAAGATGAAAGGACACAACGGAGATCAGGAGGCTGCTTGGGGATGGGCGTGTGACCACGTGCCCCATAAGGGCCAGGGCCGGGGCCAGGTGTAGCGTACCTGGCAGAGGCCACGTGGAATTTCCCTCGTGTCTCCCTGCAACCTGGCTTCAAGATAAAGAGGCAGAGGTAATGGGTGGAGGGAGCTAGGATGTCCCCCTGATTTAGATGCATTTGCATGGGTGGGGGAGGGGGTGGCTTATCTTACTCTTGGCCTGTATGTCGTGGGCCTGATGTTGACGAGGCCATGGGCATCTTGGATCACTGGTGTTTTGAGGACCGTGCATCTCTAGGCCTGTGATCTAGATGTTACCGAGTCATACACTGACGACCATGCCGACCAAATCCCAGCACCTCCCAGGCGGTGGATGGTCGCTGGTGAGCAGTGAGCCCAGGGCCCTGGCTCCTGTGATGGAGACCTTGCGCAGGTGTGACAGGTGTGCAGGTGGGGGCCAGGCGGGGAAGGCAAGATACATATTTAATTACGCCGTGTCCACTTAGTGACCATCAAGTCAGTCCTCACCTTTCCCACGTTGCGGGCAGGGAGCTGGGGCTTCGGGAAGGGGATGAGCAGCCCCGCGGTCTTCTGGATGGCTCCCTGCCAGAGGCCCGGCTGCGGAGCACAGCCAGCCGTGTGCGGGAGGAGGAGGAAGGCTGGGCCTGGGAGTGGAGGGAGATGTGGGTCCTTCCGGTGGCTGGAGGGAAACGTCCAGACAGCGGGTAAGGCATTGCCCTGTGCGGGGAGGTCAGGATTGGAGAGAAGGAAGGTTAGCACTGAGGCACCCATGCCGAGCCCACAGGCAGCCCCTGCTTTCTTGCACGAGTGCACCTCCCCGCAGCGATGGCTCCTCTCTGTCTTGAGAGCCACTGATAGCCACGCGTGGTGTTGTCTGTCCAGGTGACTCGGGACTCACGCACCTACAGCGTGGGGGTATGCACCGCGGCGGCGGGCCCGGAGCAAGGAGGCTGTAAGGACGGAGGTGTCTGCCTGCTTTCTGGGACCAAGGGGGCATCTTTTGGACGGCTGGCGTCGATGAGACTGGATTATAGGCACCAGGACGAAGCTGTCATTTTAAGTTACGCCAATGGAGATAATTGTCCTCCAGGTAAATCTTCATAGCGGGATGCATTTGACGGTCCTGGGAGATGCGGTGTTAGACCTGGCAGCAGGAGGAAACTGAGGCATGAAGCTCCAGATGCTGTGAATGCTGACCCCTGGCCCGGACCACGCAGTGTTCCACCCGGGCAGCCCCGGGTGTGAGCGCTTGGGCTCTGAACACACTCTGGCCTGCGAGCCGCTTGTCACCTTGTGGTCCTCGTGTTGGTTTAGGGTGACTGCTCCCGTCAGAGATCCTTTTGAGCATCCCCAGGTGATCGTGCCCAGCGAGGAGAGCGGAGCCGAGGTCGTGCCGGTCATCAGGGTCTCACAGGTATTCTTTGTTCCAGAAACCGAGGAAGGTGACCCCTGTGTGTTCCCCTTCATATTCAACGGGAAGAGCTACGACGAGTGCGTTCTGGAGGGCAGGGCGAGGCTCTGGTGCTCCACCACCGCGGACTACGACAGAGACCACGAGTGGGGCTTCTGCAGACATTGTACGTGGCGGAGCACGCGTCTGGGCCCAGGCTGCCCTGTAGCCAGTGCCCTTCCCAGGCTCGCGTCGTGCCTGCGCCTTTGTGGGTGTCCAAGTTAATGCAGAAATTTTGTTGCGTGTAGTTTTTCCACATCGGGCCTATTTCCCATAGAGAAAGGACGTGTCTCATTGCTCCAGGGGCGTGTTACATGACCATGCATGTGGACCTCAGTAGAGCACAGTTGACGTGCAGGTGTCAGGGGGCCAGCGAGGCCCTCTCGCTTCAGGGATCTGTGTCCGTGGACCGGGTCTCAGCACTGATGACGCACATTCGTGCTTATTAGACTCCCACTTGTCACAAGTCTGCAGGGTGGCAGTAATCAGAAAGGGTGGGGGCGGGGGGGGGATCCTCCACTGGCTGTCTGCTGGGGGTGGGGGCAGGCTCAGGACAGGGGCGGGGGGTTCAGCATGAGCCGGACATCACAGCCTTGCTCTGGCGATGCTTGGAGACAAGGGATGTGGGAACCCTGCTCACGTGTGTGGCACAGATGTGAGCTCTCAAAGGAAGTGATGAGAAAATGCATAAAAAATCAGTTGTCGTGAGTGATCAGGGACAAGATGCTACAAAGAGAGTGCTAAGTGTCAAATTCACAAGGGGACTGATACAGTTTTGTTTGGAGGCTTGTTGCGACAGGATCTTTCTCCTGGTCTGTTGGATGACACGTTTTTAGGTGATTAGAAGTATCTTGTTGCTGTTTTAATTCGTTGTTCTCACCCACGTGTGATCGAATGTGGAGTGTCTGTCCACGGGGAATTGAGCTCGGGCCGCGGGGTCACGAAGCCCAGGAAGGGACCCTGTGCCCTGAGGGGTCTTGGTCTGTTTCGGGTTAGGATCTGGGTGAACGGAACAGGACGGGCTCTGCCCCTGCCATGTGGGGGAGGAGGGGAGGAGCTGATGCAGGACCAGGCCATGGTCTGACTTTTCCCGCATGCTGCGCCCCCAGCAAACAGCCACCGGACGTCCGCGATCATCTTCAAGTGTGACGAGGACGCTGATATCGGGAGGCCACAGGTCTTCAGTGAAGTTCGTGGCTGTGAGGTGACATTTGAGTGGAAGACGAAAGTTGTGTGCCCCCCAAAGAAGATGGAGTGCAAGTTCATCCAGAAGCACAAAACCTATGACTTAAGGCTGCTGTCCTCGCTCACCGGCTCCTGGTTCTTTGTCCACGAAGGAGTCTCGTGAGTACCTGCCACCTCTTGTCAGCCATGACCTTCTCTCGGGCCTGATGGCGATGGGCACATGGCAGTCCACCTTTGTGTCCCCCCAGAGCTGGGGCTGTCATGGAAATCCGGTGCTTGTGGTGGCTTGAATGCCCCTGGGCTCTAGGGAGCAGCCCGTTGGTGTCTGGCCTAGCGGGCGTGGCTGCTTTGGAAGGCAGAGGAAGACAGAAAGGGAGCCTTTGGAACCAGAAGCTGGCGATCAGCAGTTGGCCAGACACAGAGTCTCGATTGGCATCATGTTTGGAAGGGGCTTCTGTCTGCTGCTGAGGGTGTGTGTGTGCGGGGTGGGGGTGAATTGATTTTCTCAACTCTTTGGCACGAACCCCTTGGGCTGTGTGGTTCGGGGTTCGTGAGCCATGGTGGCTGCTCTGTGCACGGCCCCCACTCTGCCCAGCACCCCCAGATCAGGAAGTCCTCAGCCTGGGGCGGGGGCGTGGACTTGGGCCGCAGCTGGTCCCGACCCGAAAGCCCTTCTAAACCGCACCGTCTCAGGGTCCACCCCCACTGGCCTGGTTGACGCGCTCCCGTTTTCAGTAACCGGATAGTCTCTGTCTCAGTGCCGTCTTCAGAGGTGCTCTGGCATACCTGGTGGTCACAACGATTACTGTTTCTGAAAGTGACGGACGGAGCTGCACCCCAGTGTGCCAGGGCAGACTAACCTTGTGCCCCTCCCCCATCCCTTTGTGTTGTTCTACAGGTACTATATAAATCTGTGCCAGAAAATATATAAAGGGCCCCTCGACTGCTCGGACCGAGCCAGCATCTGCAAAAAGAGTGCGTCTGGTGTCGTCCAGGTCTTGGGGCTCGTTCACACGCAGAAGCTGGATGTCATAGGTAAGGCCCTGGGTCCTTGTGCATGGTTATAAGTGTCTCATCAGAATTGGGAAGGAAAAGGCGTCCTCATAGGCCAGGAGGCTCAGCATGGGCTTCAGTTGAAACTGCCAGATAGAATTCCCAATGGTTGTCCAGCGTTCCAGTAACTCCTGGAACATGAGTAAGCACCGCTTTGCATTCTCTGAGGTGGCACGTCCTGGCAGGTGTGTTCAAGAGGGTTCGGCTCTCTTGCAAACATCCTTCCCCACCCAAGAGAGTCACAGTGGTTAAGGTTCTGCTGAATCCCTGCTCCAGCTCTGGGCTGAGCACAGAATCTGCATAAACACGTGCAAGCATTTATTCGGGAGAGCTGAACGGTTATACAAGAACTTGGCAAAGATAATTCAGGGGTATGTTTTTGTAATATCTTAACAGTTTAGAAAAATAGTAACAAATAATAATAATGAAGCTTTTTTTTAATAGCGTTTTTAGAAAATTCATCTTGCAACTGGTTGTTTAGTGAAAGATTCTTTCGTTATTTAAAAGAGGAAGGTAGCTGGGGTGCCTGGTTGCTCAGTGGGTTAAGCGTCCGACTTCGGCTCAGGTCATGATCTCACGGTTCGTGAGTTCGAGCCCCGCATCAGGCTCTGTGCTGACAGCTCAGAGCCTGGAGACTGCTTCGGATTCTGTTTCTCCCTCTCCCTCTGTCCCTCCCCTGCTCACGCTCTGACTCTCTCATTGACTTTCAATAATAAATAAACATTAAAAAAAAAAAATTTAAAAGAGGAAGGTAGGGCCATCTGGGTGGCTCAGTTGGTCAAGCATCCGACTCTTGATTTCAGCTCAGGTATGACCTCACAGTTGTGGGTTTGTGGGGATTGGGCCCCACATGGGGGGCCCTGTGCTGAAAATGCAGAGTCTCCTTGGGACTCTCTCTCTCTCTCTCTCTCTCTCTCTCTGCCCCTCCCCCACGGGTGCACGTGTGTGTTCTCTAAATAAATCAACATTTAAATAAAAATAAAAGGAGAAGGTAGATTTTTCTTAGGTAGATACAGTTGGGGTCAGTTGGGGTGTATTAGGGGGACCAGTAAAGAAAAATACCTTTATCTTGTTGGACTAGAGAGGGGTCCCCGGGTTGTCCTGAGTAAATCACAGGATGACTCGAGTTTGTGTGAGCTGTCGAAAAAGAGGCAGGGAATTCTGTGGGAGCCACTGTGAGTCTTAGAAGCAAACCAGATTCTGCAGGTTGGTGGAGTCCCCCGGAGTGGCCAGCCGTCCCATGACTCACTGCTGTTTCCCCACGGCTCCCTAAGGGGGCCGAGGGTGGCTCATTGCTCTGTGGTCTCGCGGTTGTACGCGGATATCGGAGCAGCCTTCGCCTGAGTTTCCCGCAGCTGGCTGACAGGTTTGAATAGTTAAGCCCTCACTGAAGGTTCAGCTAGTAGATGTGTCCTGGTCCCCAGCCCGCCAGGTAAGACCTTCCGTTTTGGTCCCAACAGGATAGCTGTCCAAGGGCAGACACAGTGATTGCCACCCTCATTTAGGGGCTGCACCCATCTGGGGTGGGGAGATGGGCCGTCTGTCCCAGGAGCTAACAGTTACCTACAACTGTGCTGTCTGCAGGTGTAGTTCTCAGCAGCTTCGTGGGGTTGGGGTTAGAGTTCGTGTCACCGGTTGGGCAATGAGGTGTGGGAGGTCAAGTGTACTGCCCAGTAGTGTAGGGTGTCTACAGTAAGATGTGCATTTGTTTGGCCTCATGCTCCAGCAGTTTAAGAATGTCTCTTCAAGGGGCGCCTGGGCAGCTCAGTCGGCTAAACATCTTACTCTTGATTTCAGCTCAGGTCAAGATCCCAGGGTTGTAGGATCGATCCCTGTGTTGGGTTCTGTGCTGAGCGTGGAACCTGCTTAGGGCTCGCTCGCTCGCTCTCTCCACCGCACCCCCCCCCCCCCCCCCCCCCCCGCCCCGCTTGCGTGAGTGTGCACTCTCGCGTTATTTTTTTTCCTCTCTCTCTCAAATAAAAAAATTAAGAAAGAAAAAAAGAATTTCTCTTTAAAGCAGTACTCTTTCTTCCAAAATTTTACACAGGAGCCCACTATTTAGCACAGAAGCTCAGTGTTTAATACAAGTCCATCCAGTAACAGCTCTGAATCGGGGCAGGGCTGAGGGCCCTGGGCTTTCGGCCGAGCGGTTGGGCCGCTGAGTGTGGAAGAGTGGAGGGGAAGCTGGTGCCGAGGCCCACGTTTCCTCCGTGTCCCCTGCCTCGCGTGGGTGAGGGTCCGGGGCTACAGCGTGTGTGGTGCCCCTGTGAGGGCCCCGCCCTGTGCCCCTGAGCCACAGTCTGCCTGCCGAGCCAGGCTGGGCTCAGGTGCCACCAGGACGGCACTGGGCAGCCACACGTGGTAGCTGGCAGCAGCATGGGACTCGAACTGGCAGCCACGCTGCCTTCCGTGCGACTGGCAGCTGAATGCAAGCGCTCGCTTTCCTCTTAGACCCTGCTCCTCAAGGTCTCGTCACTTTCTTTATCCGCGATCCTTTCAGCAGTCGAAAGATTGGACACAGAGCCGGAAGACCCGAGAAGAACAGAGTTGTTCTGGGTCTGGTTTTCCTCGTGGTGCTTGTCGGTCCGGCACCTGCCCCGTTACCACTGGGGTGCTGAGACGGGGGGATGTGTCAGGAAGGCACCTAGAACAACCCTGCAGTGGTACAGAACTGGAGCAGTGGCGAATGCTGCCCCTGGGGTCCTGCTCTGTGAGCACGTGGCGCCGGGCACTCGGCTGCTCGTTGGAAGGTGTTCCCGTGGCGCAGGTGAGGAGACAGGCTCAGAGGCTCAGCAGCCCGGAGTCAGGCAGCCAGTGAGCAGGAAGGCTAGGGTTTGGACCCAGGTCTTCTCTAGCCACACAAGGTGTGTTGTGAGCCGGGAGGCGGTCACCGAGCTTGAGCTGGGAACCCGGGGTGGAGGACTCAAGAGTCTTCAGAAAGCCGGACGTTCGTTCTTTATAACCAGGAACGACGTCACTTCCATTATTTGTGTGTTTCAGGTGACAAAGTCATCGTAACTTATTCAAAAGGTTATCAGTGTGGGGAGAATAAGACCGCCTCTGCCGTCATCGAGTTGACCTGTGCAAAGACAGTGGGCAGACCTTCATTCAAGAGGTGAGAGAGAGGGTTGGGGCCTCACGGGGGAGCTGTGCAGAGAGTGCCCTGGGGGCCCATCAGCATCTTTCCCCATGGTTTTCACTTGCAGGCGTGCAAACGTGCGTGCAGGGAGAGGGTGTTCGGGTGGCCACGGTGGGGAGGGGGCTGTTCGATGTCCTGTAGCCTGCAGGGCTGTTCTGCACCAGGAGGGATTTCCCGGAAAGGGGGCTGGGGCACACGGTCGCTTGACTAAAGCCACAAGGTAAGGTGGCATCCGGCCTCCACCCTGAGCATCGTCACAGGACCAGAGGGGCAGCGATTGGCGCCACCTTAAGTCCAGCTGTCCGGGTGGCCTGTCTGAGATCCCCAGGCAGGTGGGGCTGGCACAGGGGATGCTCTTGGATGACACTAGAATTTTCCAGGCAACTCTGCAACTAGCATTAGGAGGAGTTGGCCAACAGAGGGAGCGTATGAGCTGCTGTTTGTGAACAAATGATTCTTCCGGAAGCTGGGCTTGAAAAAGGCAGGACCTAGGAATCGTACGAGGATTGAATCAACGTATGAGTTGAAAAAGCTTGCAAAGTTCAGAAATTTACGAGCAAATTTTTCCAGTTTTTGGATGTTGCACAGTTTCTGAATTTAACACCACCAAAAAAACGTGCTGAACGGTGCCCAACATTATCACATTGCCAAAGGGCCACACAACATCTTCCTCACTAGGCTGGTGTTCCCGGATCTTTCCTGTGAGGCTGCTGAGAAAAGTCCTGCGAGCCTCGCTAGCCCAGAGCTGCCTGCACCCATCGTGGGGGCGGCGAGGGCTCGGTGGCGGGGTGCTTCTGCAGGGACCCAGGGCTCAGGACTGACCGGAGCCCTGAAAGCCAGTGAGCCTCTTCCCGGCACGAGAGGCCTGGTGTCGCAGCCCCCCCCCCCCCCTCGCGTGTGGCTGGGCGTGACTGCAGCCGTGTTCCCTCCTTCCAGGTTTGACTTGGACAGTTGCACTTACTACTTCAGCTGGGACTCTCGGGCTGCCTGTGCTGTGAAGCCCCAGGAGGTGCGGATGGTGAACGGGACCATCACCAACCCTAGAAATGGCAAGAGCTTCAGCCTCGGAGATATTTATTTTAAGTAAGTGAAACATTTTCCTTTTGAGCACTGAACTGTATTCAAAATTAAACCAATTTAGATCTTTCCCGGTGCGGGGGGGTGGGGGGGGGGAGTGGAGGAGGGGAGCCGCAAGATAAATGGGCCTGTGTGTGTTAGTTACTGTTTCTAGGTAGATGTCCTATTTTGCTTAAAACTGGGGGACAGCATTACTCAACTATGAAGTTTTAACACCAAAGATGGTGAATTCTGTTGAGTGTAAAAATAAAGTCACCCCTTCTCCTTCACTTCATGATAAGCCCAGGGGGCAAAGCTGAAACCTGAAAGAGTTTTTGATCAGGAATCCCTGGGCTTACTGGTTTGTGAAAATAGAGTGTCCCAGCAGTGTCCCTGGAGCCGTTCCTGAGGTCAGGTGGCCGTATGTACTGGCTGTACCCGCGGCAAGCGAAGCAGGTGTGCTGTGGGAACAGCGCATTTTGAGGAGGGCGCACGGGTGCTCAGAGCACGGGGCGGGAGGCAAGTTGGTGCCCTCCGGGGTCTTCGTGGGCTCCCAGGCTGGCCAAAGTGGAGAAGGGCAGTGTCCTGCGGCCCTGTGCTTGTTCACAGGTGTCTGGGTCTCTAGTAAATGGGTTTCCTGAAGGACTGGAGCCATTGCTGTCTTTTCCATTTCTTCAGGCTGTTCAGTGCTTCTGGGGACATGAGGACAAATGGGGACAAGTACCTGTATGAAATCCAGCTTTCCTCCATCACGAGCTCCAAAAACCCGGCGTGCTCTGGGGCCAACATCTGCCAGGTTAAACCAAATGACCAACACTTCAGCAGGAAAGTTGGAACTTCTGATAAAACCAAATACTATGTTCAAGGTAATTGCTTTCCATTAACGTTTCGTGTCCCGCTTCCTTGGAAGGGCCTTACGCTTTCCCTGAACTAACACCCTTCCGTTGAAATGCCACATTTTAAAGCAGAAGCCCTGGTCTGATCCTGTGTCTTGATACGTGTTCATCAAGACGGATCGAACAGGTGTAAGATGAACGTTTCACTGTAGGTAAAATTCACCTTAGACTTGGTCTGCACCAGGGGGTGTGAGGTGGGGGTGTAGAAGGTGAAGTGTGCGCATCCAGAACTGCCTTTGATGTGGTTTTAGTCGTGTTCTTTACTTCACAATTGCAGATGCTATTACACAAGGGTGAGAAATTTTACATTTGTCAGAAGGATGAAAAGAAAGGATAAACACTCTTTAAAAGGTCAAGTGCATGTTTCCGCGCTCGGACGCTGAGTGCACGCGTCACTGCACTTGGCCGTGCCCGACGGGCAAGGCAGAGGTACCCGTCACGTCAGCCTGATTTGCTTTTGTGATTCCACACCAAGGAGCAGTAACCCCCGCGGTTCTCTTTTCTAGCAATTCTGGGTTGGATTTACTCGTACCTGTGCGCGTCGTGCGCATTTACTTATTCGGGGTTAATTAAACCCCTTTTAGACCTTGTCGCTTTCTGCATTCACCAGCCCTAGAAAGTAAGTTTAGTTTTAAGACCACTTGTTGCGTTGCATGAAGAAGTGCAGATTGAATCTCTTCCCGAGTCTTCATTCGAGACGGCAAGAGTAGGAAGCTGCGACGGGCCCCCCCATCAGCTCGTGGACATGGGCCCGCGTGCCGGCCTCATGGGATGGTCCGTTCAGGCCTTGCCTCAGCCAGTTATGTGTGAGAACATGTGGGGCCTCCCGAGCCCAGCCCGCACGGGCCGGGACTCAGGGCTCCCTGTGTGTGGACGTGACCGCCTCGCACACGGAACTCGGTGGCTCTCCAGCGGTGGCTCGCTGTGAAGTTTGAGCCACCTGCAAAGTTTGGGGAGGGCAGCGTCCGCACAAGGCTCCCTCACCTCTGACACCAAGTGGGAGTTTTGGGGGGCTTCCCCCGCCACCCTCAGGTCTGGTCCTTCGCTGGGACTCAGAACTCACTGAGAGCTGTTACTGCCACCGTTAAGGATGACAATTGGCGGAGGGGAGAAGCACGCAGGGTGACATCCAGGAGGGAGCCAGATGCTTCCGTCACCCTCTCCCTGTGGAATCGGGCTTGACCGTATGCACGGAGTGTCGCCAACCGGGGAAGCTCGCGTCTCCGTGTCCAGGGGTTTTATTGCGGTTCCGTCACAGAGGCTTGTTTGGTTGGCCCGCCGGTTGCTTGGTTCCCCGTCTGGTCCATTTCGGTCTCCGGATGAGCAGGTACCACGTGGCCAGTCCCCATTCTGAATCCGACTGTGAACTGAGGACAAAGGCCGGACCTCTCCTGGGGTCAAGGTTCAAGTCTTTTCTGCTCCCGGACTTCAGGCGGGGGGCCCTGTAAGGAGTGTGAGGTGGCCTGTGAGAACGCGCACATGTGAGACCTTTGAAGAAGGCCCTTTACGTGAGATCTTAAGTCTGTGCGTTTTACAGACCACGAGGACATTATTGAAACGTCGATGGTAACGTTGTGTGGTTGTGTCATACTTCCTTTTTGACAGACGGGGATCTAGATGTGGTGTTTGCCTCGTCCTCTAAGTGCGGAAAAGACAAGACGAAGTCTGTGTCTTCCACCATCTTCTTCCACTGCGACCCTCTGGTGAAGGACGGGATCCCTGAGTTCAGCCACGAGACCGCCGACTGCCAGTATCTCTTCTCTTGGTACACCTCTGCCGTGTGTCCCCTAGGGTGAGTGCGCGGGCCGGGCCACTTTCCCCTTTCTGCGCACGCTCACCAGCCGCACGCCGACGCGCTCTCCCCTGACTCAGCTCGAGCACGTATTTGTGTGTGTTCTGCCCCACCTAGTGTGGGGATATTCAAGCGTGCACAAACACCGGAGAGGCAAGCCCCACGCGGCCAGCACGCGGCCTCACTGGCTGTCCAAGCGTCGCCCCTCGTTTGCTCCCCTTCCGCCACCGCCCACCATTCCCAGGGCACCCCCATCTGCCGGCAGGCACGCACGAGGCCTGAGTGCGCCCGCTTTCTTTCCGGCCTCCCCCATGCTGCCTCACGGCAGGCCGATGCTGAGCCTCGTCTTTGTGTTCCTAGCGCATTTTTCTTGGGTTCCAGTGCAGATTATTATACGGTAAAGGTCGATTTACCTTGAGCGAGGTAGTGTTTATGTTTGGACGAAGGAAAACTTGTTCGACAGAGTTTGAAGATCAGGCATAGGCCAGGTTTTGCGTGCGCATATGGGAACGTGCATTTCCGTGCCAAAGGAAGGGTGATCTTGGCCTCTGTGTGGCCTCAGGGAACTCTCTCTTCTTGTGCCCCAGGGCCTTTGCTCCTCTGCCCAGTTCACTGTCAGGTTTAGAGACCTTCATCTGGAACAAAGTGCTATAGCTTGCTTTCCTCTTTGGACTTGCTTTCTTCCCATTTCATCCAGGTCCTTCTCTTACAGAAGCTTTTTCAGTCTCTGTCTGAGACTACAATCAAGAGAAAAAGGAGTTCTTGCCATGCACTGGTTTCCTTTGTGTCCTGAAGGAATGTTTCTCTGCAGTCCCTAGAAACCGTGGTAGGAACAGTGGGAGGAGTCCCAGATCACATCTATTAGATCTTAAATGAGTTTTCATTTTTAAAAAGAGTCAGCTTTGTCTGAAGTTTTCCAGGAACATGAACGCAAGGCAAGTCTTAAATTTCTAGACGTTGGTGCCATATAAACAACACACACAGGGTTGTGTTGTTAAGCATCTGACTTCGGCTCGGGTCGTGATCTTGAGATTCTCGAGTTCAAGCCCTGCATCTGACTCTGTGCTGACAGCTCAGAGCCTAGAGCCTGCTTCGGATTCTGTGCCTCCCTCTCTGTCTCTGCCCCTCCCCCACTCATGCTCTGTCTCTCTCTCTCTCCCTCTCTCTCTCTCTCTCTCTCTCAGAAATAAACATTAAAAAATTAAAACGCAAAACACACAGTGAAGTTAAGAACCAGTAATGAGAAATTAACTGAAAAATAGACATACGTTTGCAAACTAAAACACACTTGAAAATGATTCCTGGCTCCCAGGAGAACCCAAAAGTAGCAGTGAGGACAGGCCTAGAAGTGAGTGACGATGCGCCTCTCCCATTGGGACGCGGAGGTGCGTCCCAGGTCCTCCTGAACGAACTCCTGTCCCTCGGGGTCCACAGAGCACGTGTGGGGGCGTCCCCGCTTGAGCACACAGCGACCAGTGCCTCCACGCTGGAATAGAACACTGAGGTTGTCGTCCAGTTTGGAACCGTATTATTTGGCTCAGGCTGAATGCTGATGGGTGCAGTTATCCTCACGTAGTTGAGCCATCGGTTGCCCTCCGACCCAGTCTGAATCAAGAAGTTTTCTGAACCAGTATCTGCACCTGTAGCCTCCAGTTCATCACGGCTGTGGCCCATCAGTTGCCCTCTCTCCTCCCGAGCAGCCCATACAGTCCCTGTAGCCTGCCTCTCTGCCTTCCCAGGGCGGGAGGAACTTTGTTAGCGGATTCTGTTACTGTAGGTGCCCTGAGTGCAGGCACGAAGGGTCGGAAGTGTCCAGTCACTACACGGACATCTGGTTCTCTGAGCAGAAGGTCCGTCGTGGTTTTTCTAGCTTTGTGTTCGTTAATTTGTACTACTTTCCTTGAGCGTTTAAGGTCATAGAAATACGTTGCTCTTTCCCACACGTGGGCGGGACTCCTGCCATCCTAGCTGCTCGAGGGGCGGTCGTGTTGGTCCGGGGATGTGCCTCCCGGACGCAGCAGCCCGGATGGAGCGTCTGTGCCGTGTCCAGCCGTGTCCCGTGCGTGTTCCCTCAGCCCTCATGAGGCACCGACGGTGTGTCCTGAGACGAGGTGGAGGGGACAGAAGCCTGCCCCCGGCGGTGACTGCTTGTCCCCAGGGAGGGGAGCTGTGGTCCTGGGAAGATGAATGTTGCCGGCTTATCCCTGCTGTGGCCTCCCAGGTGCCTCTGTGCCCTGCAGCCATCCGGGGGGGGCTGGCCGCCACGGAGTAGGCCATGCTCCTCCATAAGAGCTGCCCGCGTGGCTCCGGGCGGTGCCTTCCACCTGTTCTCCGGTCCCACCGCTGTGTCGTTGAGGGACCCCGTTCTGCTATTCTCCACACCCCGGGCTGGGAACTGCTCCAGCTGTGGCTGCCATGGCACGCCACCAAAGGACGTGGCTTCCTTTCAGGGTGGGCCTTGATGGTGACGGTGCGGGCGAGGACACGCAGGAGCACAAAGGGCTGTCGGAGAGAAGCCAGGCGGTCGGGGCTGTGCTGAGCCTGCTGCTCGTGGCGCTCACTGGCTGTCTGCTGACCCTGCTGCTTTACAAGAAGGAAAGGAGGTAAGGAGAGGGGAGCAGGTATGCCCCGAGGCCAGTGCTTCAAGGTCGAGTCCTGGGATCTGTGTGTGTGTGTTGCAACCACGGAAACCGTCTCCGAAGTCGCGTAAACGTCCGCGTTTCTGGGACGAGGTGACCGTCTGACTCCCAGGCGTGCGAGTCAGGCCCTGGTGGTCGTGTCGTGTAGGAGATGCCGCGCAGGCACTAAGCCTGGCCTGTTTCTAGGATGTTGGTCTCTGAATGTGTCCAGAGAGACAGCAGATGAGCACCATTTATGAGCAGGCTTCCTTCTGATCAGCTGACCCCTCTACACGGTCCTCCTCTCGCCCCTTCCTCCCGTTTACTAGATGCCTACCATGTGCCAGGCATGATGCCGTCTTCTTGGCTCACGGTTTCTGGGTAAAAGGGCTTGTCACCACATTTCCGTGTGGTGTGTGAATGAGGCACAGGGCCCATGAGCCCTGTGCGTGGTCCTCCCTGGCAGGTGGGAGAGAGCATCCAGAAGTCCTGAGTGCGGCCGTCCCGGCCCGGAGAGGCAGGTACTGGAACGAAGAATCCGGGCCGAGGGTCTGGGCATGAGTTTTGGCGCACGTCTCCGTGCGGTCCTGGGGTGGGAGGAATATGTGCTCTTGTCATAGTCACATGGGACAAAGCAGAAGCCCACGGTGGGTAACTTGCACTTGGCTTTGCTAGACCACTGAGAGAGGAAGCAGGTTTCGAATCCACTTCCATCTGGTTCCAAAGTGTTCTTTTCACTGAACTCGTGTATAACCCAGCTGCTGTGGGTTTAGTGTGCCCGTGCCATGGAGGGATGTGCCTGTGGGGGCTGCAGGCTTCTCTGTGAGCAGATGCGCAAGGTGCCAGGACTGTGGAGGGGCGGGTTTGCGAGGGGCTGGGGCCGGGAGGACTGGCACGCGAGATGCCAGGGCTGTGGAGGGGCGGGTGGGAGAGGGGCTGGGAGGAGGCGGGAAGGAGACTGGCATCACGGAATGCAGGGCACAATGGGAGAAAGGGGCGGGGAAGGCCGGCCGGGCGGTTCTCCTGCCCGGCTGGTCCCGCCTGCAGTGACCGCTCGCCCCGCAGGGAGACGGTGGTTAGCAGGCTGAGCAGCTGCTGCAGGAGGAGTGCCAGCGTGTCCTACAAATACTCGAAGGTAACGTCCCATCACCCCCGTCGCCCCCGCCCCACTGTTGAGCTGTCTGTGCCCTGATGGTGTCAGCCTGTGACAAGGAAGACGCCACCACAGGCCTTTTGAAGGAGAGAAAGGAAAGGTCAGCCGTCGCTCTGAACCCGAGCGCACTCCGTGTCCTTTCTGCCTTCAGGTTTTATCGTCGCGGCTGCGGCTGGTTTTCTCAGAATGTTTAATATTTCAGTGGCTTCTACTTTGGGGGCTGTTCTAGAAACTAAATAAATAACGAACGTGTCTGTGCATCTGGCACCTGGATGAGTCCCTTCAGATAAACTTCCCCCGGACAGGCGTTGTTCGGGTAATGGGCACACGCGTGCTCGTGGCTCTCGGTCCTCCAGCCAGAGTGCGTCCTCAAAGGTTTCGCTCAGACACAGTCACGTCCAGCCCCTGCGGCTTCTCGTACCGCACGGCCCCTCCCGTCCCCCAGGTGCTGCTGACCTGCCAGCCTGACACCAGCCGCCTCGTGGGGTCCACGCGGGAGCCGACGGTCGCCAGCCTTCCCTTCCTCTCCGGGTGGGGGACCTGGGAAGCAGGGAAGGGGTTCCCCGACTCAGGCAGGTCACGGAAGGGAGGGTCACAGAGGAGCGGCGTGGCCTGGGGCCTCAGAGGGGCTCCAGGGTCCGGCCTCGTCCCTGGCAGGTGAACAAGGAGGAGGAGGCGGATGAGAACGAAACCGAGTGGTTGATGGAAGAGATCCAGGTGCCGACCCCAAGGCCCGGGAAGGAAGGGCAGCAAAACGGCCACATTGCCACGAAGTCCGTGAAGGCCGAAGCCCTCACCTCCCTGCGTGGGGACGACCAGGACAGCGAGGACGAGGTCCTGACCATCCCAGAGGTGAAAGTGCAGGCGGGCAGGGGGACCGGGGCAGCGGGCGTGCAGCACGGGAGGAACGTGCAGAGGAAGGGGCTTCGGGAGAGCGCGGATGGCGCGGGGGTGCTGGTGAGAGGGGACAGGGCCCGCAGAGGGAAGCCCAGGCCCGCACAGCAGAAGCCCGCACAGCCCGGCAGCCTGGCGTCCTTCCACGACGACAGCGACGAGGACCTCTTACACATCTAGTCTCCTGGCGCCTACAGGGGACGCGGGTCCGTGGCGTCGCCGAGCACCTCCAACCAAATAAGACTTCAGTTCGATGATGCTTCTATCATTTTTGCCTTTAACAAGAACTGTCTCAAAAGGGAAGAGTTTTTGTGATGGGGGAGAGGGTGAAGAGGTCAGGTTTACGGTCCTCGGAACGTGGCTCTGCCCCTGTTGTGGGGGCGGTGCAGGGCCCCGGGTTTTGTCCCCAGTCCTCAGAAGCATGGCTGCCGTGCGCTTCGTAACGTGCGCCCGGGCCAGACGCATCTTGGAACAGAGGGCTGTGTATTTGAGAAAAACCCTTGCTGCTTTAGGCCCTGTGGGGTATTTGACCATTATATTTTAGCATTTAATTCTCTCCTCCTATTTATTGACTTTGACAATTACTCAGGTTTGCAAAAAAGGAAAAACGAAAAAAAAAAACCACAAAAAACAAAAAACAAAACAAAAAAAAACAACCCAACAGTTTCTTCGTGACAGCGGGGGTGACCGTGGTTCATCCCCGGTCGGAAGGGGAAGCTGTCGGTGTGCTAGGAAAGTCCATATGAGATTTTGAACTGGTCAATAATGTAGCCTGTAAGTTAGAATGCTCCAATCTGTCCCTTCCTTTTTGCTTCCTGTTTCTTAAGGGAACACGCACGTGCGCGCACACACACACGTGCACGCGCACACGCATGTGCAGGGTCCCCGAGTGCCTAGGCTTTGGAGGGTTCGCCTGCTCTCTGCCCTTAGTCAGTAACGGCTGCAGCGTTTTGCATGACATCTTCAATCCTAGGTACACAGAGCACACTTATCAGTATTTCTTTCGCCGGCTGGTGAATTCAAACAACCCACCCAAAGATTATTTTTGTGTGTGTGTGAGGATGGAGTTGAGATGTCAGAGAAAATAACTTTCCTCCAGATTTGGGGGATAGGTCTCACCTCTTCAGGTTCTCATGATACCACCTTTACTGTGCTTATTTTTTTAAGAAAAAAAAAAAAGTGTTTATCAACCATCCGACCTATAAGAAGCCTTAATTTGCACAGTGCGTGACTTACGGAAATTGCATGAAAGCCGATGGGCCAGCATCTCGCCCTAGCGTTGCACTTGGGGATCCCGCTCTGGGGGTGCTGGGTCGGCCTCTCGGTGCTGCGGGACTGGAGGGTGGGGCCGCTGTCCTTCCCTCGCTGTTGGCACCTTTCTCGAAGTGTTTAATGAATGACTTTTCTCGAATTCTAGAATTGTACATAGACTCAGTGGTATTCATGTACTGAGAAAACCACCCTATGGTGGTTCCTTGGTTTGTACTCCGTTTGGCTGGCTAATTTGATTTCAACATGAGTGTATTTTTTAAAATTGATTTCTTTCCTCATTTTTTTTCAATCAAATTTACTGTAATATAAAGTATTCAACAATTTCAATAAAAGATAAATTATTAGTCGGGTGTTACTGCTTTCTCCTTACAAGTTGCCCAGCGTGTTGCTGAGCCTGGCCGCCCGTCTGTTCTTCTGTGCCGTTGGGGAAGATGCCCATGTTTGGGCTCCTGCCGCGGGGCCCCCCTGGCCCTTCGTGTGCAGCACCACCGTGCGCTCGCTGGCGTCCTTCCGGTGGGCAGGTCTCATTTCATCCTTCCTTGCGAGAAAGCGCACCTCCGGCTGGTCCCAGGTTCCCGGAGCGAGCACGTGGGAGTGCAGGTTCCGGCACTGCAGGCAGGCGGGGGGCGGGGGGGGGCGCCCTGTGTGTCGTGGAGGGGGGGGTGGCTTCTCTTTGGTCAGTCGTCACCCCGACTAGTGACGAGAGCTTCCTAGACGCTAGTGGGAAAGCGGACAAAGCAGAAAGTTGCAGCGGCAAGCAGACGTCTCGGAGTCAACGTCTGTCCCTCCCTCCCTTCCCCTCATTTGTTCATCGACGTCGTTTCTTCTGCCACCGACACTTGGGTCTTACAAAAGTGTGCGTTACCACCCAGGAGTCACGGGTGCTCGGGCACTGTGTCCGGAGGGCTGTTCTCCCAGCACCCCCTCCCTCTAAGACACAGGAAGCCCACTTCGGGCAGGGGGCAGGAGGTCAGGAAGGCCACTTGCAGTCATGCGCTGGCCCTGTTGGTGAAGTTGACCGCAGGGGTCTTTGTACCCCTGGCTGCCTGCCGAGTACGCAGCTTGTGGCCGGCAGGTGGAGGGTTACAGGTGGCCCCGTGTGTGTGAGGGCATTCGCTCTGACCCTTAGGAACCTGGACTAGAGCTAGCCCTGGGCTCGGAAGACAGTCCCCGTCCTTGCCGTGGTACGTAGTTGCGGGAAAACGCGCCCTGATGGCAGATAGGAACTGTGATGTCTTCAGAAGTGACTTTATTGATAAGAGTACAGCCCTGATAGTCTCCTTTCAGCCAACTTTTCTGTGCCCTTTGGAGACTGTCCAAGGATGGCAGAGAAGTGGAGTAAGTGGGGGATGAGCACGATGTAGGCAAACCTTGTGTCGAGGAAAATCCGTGGTCTAGAAGTCTGTTCTTACTTGGAACGTTTAAAAACAGTTGAAACCAGCTCTCCGCCAACCACTGAGATCACACAGCACACACGACGACCCTGCAGGAAGGCTGACTCCACCTGGGCGTTTAAAACAGTACTCTGGTGGGGGGCGGGCAGGGGGGCACCTGGGTGACTCGTTCAGTTGAGTGTCAGACTCTGAATTTCGGCTCAGGTCGAGATCTCACAGTTCTGAGTTCAAGCCCCGTGTCGGGCTCAGTGCCGACAGCTTGGGGTCTGCTTGGGATTCTCCCTCTGTCTGTCTGTCTGTCTGTCTGTCTCTCTCTCTCTCTCAAAATAAATAAACTTAAAAAAAATGTTTCAAATTCCTAATTGGCACATAAGAATTGTTTTTTTTAACATTTATTTTTGAGAGATAGAGCACGAGCAGGGGAGGGGTAGAGAGAGAGGGAGACCTGGAATCTGAAGCAGGCTCCAGGCTCCGAGCTGTCAGCGCAGAGCCTGATGTGGGGCTCGGACCCACGAACCGAGAGATCATGACCTGAGCCGTAGTCGGACGCTTAACTGACTGAGCCGCCCAGGTCCCCGGCACACAAGATTTTTAATATAAATGAAAAACTCCACCTAAAGGTAAGACTGTTTTTGCTGTTGGTAAAAATACTGAAATAAAATAAAGTGAAACAGAATAAGAAAATAACAAAACTGTACTTTGGGGAACCTGATCCTTTGTGGGAGTCACAGAACCGATGGTCGTGCAGGTCCTACAGTCACAAGGGGGGAGGGAGCGTGTTGGGGGCGCGTGTTATGGATGAGGTTCGATTTAAATAAATCCCCTTCCCCCACGACTCAGCTGCCTTCACACACCTTATTTCTCCAAGTGCGCGTCACTGAGTTGGGGTGAGCCTCGCCCTCGGGCTAGCCCTGCCGTACGGCCTGGGAGAGCGGGCTGAGCGCATGATCCCCTCCCCACAGGAAGCGTCGGGGGGGCCACTGTGGGTGCCGGGCTGGCCGCCGTGTCCAGGTCACGCAGGCCGAGGGACGGCGATCGGGCGGATGGCAGAGGCAAGGCTGAAGCAGGCCTGTGACTCAAGGTGTCAAGTGGACGACACAGTAAGGAGCCGTGTGCTGTGGAAGGGCCCGCGTCGGTGGAAGAAAGGAAGAAGACGCGCTGAGGCTCCGGAGGCGGGTGTGCAGACCCTGGAAGGCCTCAGGCTGCCAGCCCGGAAGGAGGGGGTCCTGGGGGAAACACCCTGTGTTCTTAAAGAGAGGGGGACGGACCAAAGTTAGGCTTGTGAACGGCCACTCCCATTTCTTCACCTCTTGTTCCGCTTTGTGTTTTGACCAGGTTGCAAATCAAATTCGGTGAAAGATTACCTCTAACGTTGTTTTGATACAGCGTCAGAGGAAAACGAGATTGCACAAATGGCCCGTCCGTCATTCCCCCTGGACGGGGCGAGACCACGGAGCCCACGGATGGGCTCGCGGCCAAGTTGGGGAGACCTGACGGCCGCTCTCGGCACTGTCCTGGAAGACAGAGTGGGGAGCTGGAGACCCACACGACGGGGTGCAGCGCCCCAGAAGGCACCCTGGAAGGAGCAGAGGGCCAGGTCCCACACCAACCTTGTGACCTTCGGCTTCAGGCTTCTGTTTCTTTTTTTTTAATTTTGAGATAATCAGAACATACGGAGATTTTGAACCAACAGGACGAGGAACTTTCTTGAACCACTTGAGAGTGAGCTGCCTCCCTGACGCCTCACCTTCTCTGGACACTTCAGGTTGTCATCCCGCGGGAGCACGATGCATCCACCGAGAACACGGTGGTGGGCCCATTCCTACCAGCTAAGCCTCAGATCCTGCTCGGGTGTCCCCGCTGGTCACGGCAATGCCCTTTTTAGGAAAAGGACCCCATTCTGAATCCTGTGTTGTACCTCACTGTCTTTCAGTTTCACTTCAGCCCAGAAAGTTCCTCAATCTTTGCGGTTTCGTGGCCTTGACACGTGAGGTTGCCCTCCTCGCCTCGGGGTCTGACGCCCTGAGGCCCCTCGGCCACCCCCCACCCACTGGAGGATCCCTGTTCTGCTCTGCCCCGTGTCGCGGTTTTAGGACTCCTTTTCGGGAAAGCATGGGGGACGGACCTCAGGTTGAACAGAATCATACTTAAACTAGAAAGTCTTGCCGTAGAGTGGCGTTTCCCAAAGGATGCCCCGTGGAACACTTGTCCCGTCTGATTTGGTCGATGTGCTACGGAAACTGGAAAGGGTCTGTGCCCAAGTAGGTCAGGAGGATGCCGAGAAGACAGGCTTCCTTGCCGTGAGACACCTCTGAGATCCGGCTCAGATCACAATAAAAAAATGTGGCTGGTGGGTCTCCCAAGAAGGTACAGTATGAAGTGCTTTCCACATGTTGGCCTGTGTCCCCTTGGGGAGCCTGGTGGCCGGTGGCCCGTCCCCTGGGAAATGCTGTCACCATGGCGCACGGTTGTCCTGAGGGTCGCACGGAACGGGTATGGTGTTCTCTGTACAAGAATGGTGAGGGCCCAAGAGACGGGTGCACACTACTTCAGAACCTGCTCTCCCCAGGGAAGCCCCCCGCGCCCTCCCCATGGCCCCGCCCCAGCCATTTGCGCCCCCCAACACTGCTCCCCACATCGGGTCCAATTCCCCAGGAAGCTGACAGTGACCAGGTTCTGCGGTCATTGGCGTGGCGCTTCTGACCCGTTGCCTGTTACTCTCCACGCGTGAGCGCTGGCGTGTTGAGATGATCAGGGGTCGAATTGTGTCCCCCAAAACCCCTGTGTTGGAGCGCTCACCCCTAGCACTCCAGAATGTGACCTTATTCAGAGACTGGATCTTTATAGACGTGATCAAGTTCAAGCGAGGTCGGGGGGTGGGCCCTAGTCCACTGTGACTGGTGTCCTTATGAACAGGGGAAATTCATGATGTGAAGACACAGGGAGGAGACGGACGTCTGCAAGCTGAGGAGAGAGGCCTTTCCTCCCTGCCCACCCCTTGGTTTTGGAGTTCCAGCTTCCAGAACCACGAGACAATAAATGTCTGCGACTTCAGCCTCCCAGACCGTCCGTGCTACTTTGTTCCGGCAGCCCTGAGACACGAGTCCAGGGAGCAGAGGCCCAGTCGCTCTCCTAGAGGGGCCAGGCGGTCATCAGGCACAGCGAGAGTGACCCATGGCTGTGTGCGGAGGCTGAGGAGCCTCGTCTAGGCTGCCCCACTGTGACCTGTCGTTGCCTCCATGCCCTTCGAGGCATGACTGAGTGGCCGATGGTTTTGAATGAACCACAGGTGGTTTCGTGGGTTCCTTTGTGGGGACGGGGTGGGTGGGTCATTGAGAGCTGAGCCGGCTTTGACAATGATACCTCGAGGACGTGGAAGCAGGCTGCCTGAGACTTGGCTCTGGCATCCAGAACTGAGAATAGGGGCCAGGTGATGCCCTCGGCTCCTGGCCACTGTCCCGTGTGCCTGACCAGCCCCTGCTCCCGGGGACCTCTAGCCCCGGTGGTGACGTCTGTGCGCGCTCGGCCTTCTGAGCTCTGGAGGCCGGGAGGGTAGGGAGGAATTTAATGCGTAGCTTCCATGTCATGTGTCTGCTGGAACGGATGGGGACAAGAAGATTGTCCTGGGCAAGCTGGGCAGACAAGGTCACTGGGTCCGGTTGGTCCCAGTGCCGGGGGGGTTGGAGACAGAAGGCCCCTGTCTTGTCCTCTGGCCGGGCTCTGGGGGAAGAGGCCTGCCCAGCGGCCTTCCTTGTCAGGGGCTTTGGTGTAGGGCAAACGGAGTCATCAGAGAGGCCCCGACATCGGGGAGGGGACCGTGGTGTGGAGAACAGCCTGGGTCCTCAAGGAAGGCAGCACCTTTGATGACCGAGTGGAGCCTCGCTGTGGCTCCCACGCTGGGTCCTCATTTCTGGTAGTTTCCACGCTCCCCAGTGCAATTTAAAACCGCTCCTTAAGGACCTTAAAAGAAGGTGCCGTTTTGGAGGCGGTGCTGGGGGTTGAGGTCTGTGAGGAGAGGTCTGCCTCCACCACGTCTGTCTCCTGACGGCACACAGAGGGAGACAGCAACCCCAGGGCTGGTGAGGAGGCCTGAGTGCAGCTGGAGGAGGGGCGCCCATGGTGGCGGGGATGGGCGGGGGGCAGTTGGCCACAATACTCTGTCGCTTCTCCCCTTTGCAGTTCTGATGACCCGAGGTGTCCGGTCCTTGCACCTGAAGCAGGGATTGGGCGATGGGAACAGAGTGGCCTGTCTGAGCAAAAGAAAGAGTGAGCGCCAGCCCGCTGGGGAGTGGGGAGGGAAGCCTTTGCCCAGAGCCAGGGAGATTGCTTTCTCCAGCAAGAAAAGAGCAGGGGGCGTGAGGCCTGGCTGGCTGCCTTCCCACCCCCAGCCCCTGCACTGCCCTGGGGGAATTGGGGGCAGAGAGGGGCCAGGAAATTACAAGGGTTTCAGGAGCTCCGTGCCAGGAACCGGGGGCAGAGCCCCGGACACATGTCCTACGATCTCACGCCGCCAGAAAAGACTGCTTTCAGCTTGGAGTGTGTGACTGTCCTGCCTTTGGGGGATGTTTGCCTTTGGCCTTCTTCCTTCCTGCCCTTCCAGTGAGCGCTCAGCCCTCTGGCAGCAGCCCAGGACGGGGCGGGGGGCCGGGGGTTCAAGAGCTACAACCCCTGGGAGGGGGGCCGTATTTTACCAAACCAGCCAGCGCCCAGTGCCCGTGGAGCAGAGAGAGGAGAGTCCCAGAAACAAAAGGGCCTCTCCCGTGTGCAAATGCAGGGACCCGCCCTGGATGTCTGTGCCCTCCCAAGGCTGACATGGGGGGGGGGGGTGGGGGAGGCGTTTCCTGTCTGGTAGCATTTCGCTGTCCTCCCTCAGCAGTTCTGGCCAGGACTCCCGGGGTCCCACCCTGCGCCCAGACAGCCCCCTTGACCCCATTCCCTGCATGTCAGGTTGTTTTACAACCGAGCAGCTGGGAGCCCGCCCTGGGCAGGTGATGGTGCCGGGTGGAGTCCCATGGGGTGCTGGGAAACTGCCTGTGTTGGGGCGGGGAGATGGGGAAGTGGGTTTGGGGAGCTTGGCTCTCCCACCACCCTGGTCGGTCCGTGTGCCCCAGGCTTTTAAATGTCTGGTTGGCCTGTTCCCCCGAGGAGGGCGAGGGGGCCAGGATGAGGGCCTGGGGGGGCCTGGCCACCACAGGCTGCCCCCCTCCCCGCCCCTGCCCCCAGAGCAGCCCTGGGGCTGGCACGCAGGCCAGGTGGACGGGCTGAGGGAGCTGCTGCTTGAGCCTGGCCTCAGAGGTCAGCCTGGCACGCAGGGCCCCAGAGGGGCGAGTGTGGAGCGCGGTTAGCCAGCCCCAGGCCGCGTGAGCAGCACTGCACGTGGGCTCGCAGGCCTTTCGAGGCCCTGCTGCTCCCAGGAACATTCCCTCCTTGTCTCCCAGGAGCCATTTCTCCTTGTCTGTTCCTGTGGAGCCACACGACCACAACCCTAGCTGGATAAGGCCGCACACTCGTCTCCCGGCTTCTGGGGGGACCCTCTGCGGGTCTGGGGCAAGATGGGCCTCAGCCCACGTGGTTCCTGCAGCTGCGGGCCTGAGGGTCCCCGTCAGCCGGTGGCGTCTCCTCTCCTTGCCTTGTGGACTCCCCCGCAGGGCCACCTGCTTCATCAAAGCCAGCAGTGGGATGAGGGACGCCGGGCCAGGCAGCTGTGCAACTGCGCTCGATGGAGTCCCGGGAGTGGCATCGCCACATTTGCTGTGTTCCGTGGGGACAGGCCAGTCTCAGGTCCTGTGCCTACTCCAGGGTGCATGTGCCAGGAGGCAGGGTCTTCGGGGGTCACCTTCCCATCCCTGCCTGCCACACCCTTTCTGCCTTTCATCACTTCCTGCTCCACCCCCCCCCCCCCCCCCCACCATCGTATCAACCTACTGGCCATAAGGTTCACGGCTGGCTGAGAAGCCAGTTTTGGGGGCTCCCCTAGTGCCCTCTGCTTGAGCTGACCCTTTGTGAGTCTATCCCCCCGAACGGTATGCTGTTTGGAGTTAGAAGCTGCCCCATCTCTGTGTCCCAGAGCCTGGCACCTACTGAGACGTATAAGGGCTTGGTGAATATTTCTTGAATGCAAGAAGCAAACCGACAGGAGTTGGTGAACTAAGGGCAGGCTAATAAATTCGGGACGTTGCTCTGGAGCGGAACAAGACTCAAGTTCAAGGACAGTGGGAACTCGGGAGGTTGCCGTTGGCTCCCCAAACCTCTGTTTTCCTAGCTGTGCCGTGAGCAGAGTCGTAGCGTTGACCCTGAAGGCTGTCACGACCTGGTAACAATTCAGAGCCCTGAATTGAAGGCTGGTGCTTTTGTCATTGCTGAGTCTGAAGCTCGTTCGTGGCTCCCTTTTCCACGAGATGCCGGCCCGCAGGGCCCCTGGGGACAAATAGGACGCAGTGCTCAGCCGAGCCACGCTTGGGGCCAGGCCAGCGAGGTGAAAGGAGTGTGAGTGCTGGATCACACAGCACCTGAAGCTGTGATGCCTTTGATTTATCTGAATTACAAAAAGAAGTTTTAAAGTAATCTCTCTGGAAGAGCCCTAAAGACACCACTCCGGGGTGGGGAGGGGGGCTACCTGGCAGGCTCTAGTTGTTCCCTCTAATGCCAAGAGAATTAGAACCCCAGCCTCGTGGCCTTGCTTCCTGGCCAAGCCATTTGGACACTCACCCTCCTGCCTTTCACCCTTGCCGGACACCCACACCACGGGGTGAAAGATTATTTCCAGTTGGTTGGCTTCCAGGGAGAGCATGCTTGGACAGCAACTTGATTTCAAACCAGCCCATTGCAGAGAAGCCCACACGAAACATTGACCTCGGCCACCTCGGCCGAGGCAGTTTGGCCAAAGAGATGAGGTTGCCGGTCCAGTCATGCCCACTGTGGATGACATTCTGGAGCAGGTTGGGGAGTTCGGCTGGTTCCAGAAGCAAGTCTTCCTGACCCTATGCCTGCTGTCAGCTGCCTTTGCCCCCCTCTACGTGGGCATTGTCTTCCTGGCCTTCACCCCGGATCACCGCTGCCTGAGCCCCGGGGTGGCCGAGCTGAGCCGGAGATGCGGCTGGAGCCTGGCAGAGGAGCTGAACTACACAGCGCCGGGCCCGGGAGCCGCGGGCGAGGCGTCCCCTCACCAGTGCCGCCGCTACGAGGTGGACTGGAACCAGAGTGCCCTCAGCTGCGCGGACCCCCTGGCCGGCCTGGCGGCCAACAGGAGCCACCTGCCACTGGGCCCCTGTCGGCACGGCTGGGTGTACGAAACGCCCGGCTCGTCCATCGTGACCGAGGTGAGAGCTGGCCCTGTGTTTTGGGGGGCAGCTGGGTTTTAGGGACACGGGGGAAGCAGGGAGGAGAGTTCGATTCACTGAGCACTTAGAACGTGTCCAGTTCCATCCTGGGCACTTTGCACGCTTCCCTTGCGTAGCCCTCCGCAGACCCTGGGTGATGGTGAAGGAGGCTGAAGGTCAGAGCAAGCCGGGCTGAGCCAGATCGTTTGAACACGGGTCTACGGGGAGAGACGGGTTTCTCTTCTTTCCGCCCCACCGGCCTCTTCCTCCAAGAGCCTGCCGAATTCGCTTGGGGTGCGGCTTCCCTACCGTTAGAATCAGTGGGCTCCCCCTTCCTCCACTCAGGAGGCACGCGCCTGTGGGGGCTGAACGTGGCTGGGGAGCTGGGGAGGCCTCCCTGGCTTTGGAGTCAGACTGTTGCAATCCCGGCCATGTTCCAGATGAGCTGGGCGTCACTGCGTGGGTTACTCGGCATCTCTGAGCCTCAGCTTCCTCATCAGTAAACCCGGGACGGCCGTGACCCACAGGGGCCGGAAGTTCAGCTGAGGCTGGCCTAACCGCTGACAGACCTGAGCTGAGCTGCACGAGGCGGCCTCACAGGATGCGGTGGTGGTGTCGGAGCGCCCTGCTCGCCTAGTTCGGGGGGTTCTTTCTGTGTTGTGCTTTGAGGATATTTTAGTAAAAAGCTACCAGGTTTTTTCCCTTCATGCATCCTTTTGAAAGCGATGGGTTTCCAAGGGTTCCAAGGCACCCTTCAATGACAGACGACCAGCGAGGCACCTCCCCTCCCAGGGACACTGAACTGCCCAGCGCTCTGGCTGGGAGTCTAGAAGCATACCAAGACAGAGAAGTATTTGTTCTCCGTGACTGAGAGCCACTCCACTAGTAAACGGGCAGAAGCAGTCGGTCCTCCATCTATTTACTCCCCCATCTGTTCACTCAGTAAACGTGGCTGAGCCTTTGCTCTGCTCCAGCACTGCCGCGGTGCTGGGATGGAGACAGGGAGAAAGCTGGGCGCTTCTCTCCAGGAGCCTGGCATCTCCAGGGCAGTGAGGGAGGCGGGGAGAACAAGGCCTGTGCCCGGGCCCACGTGTGGGCAGGCACACAGCGGGCAGCGGGCTCCAAGGAGGCGTCCCCGAGCCACCGAACTTATCACGGGTGCCTTCTGGAGGGAGGTGGCATTTGATTGGAGCCTCGGGTGTATCCTGAGCGGCAAGGAGAGGAAACAGGACAGGGAGGGGGAGCGCGGGCCCAGGCTCAGGGGAGAGGGAGCTCGTGCCACGCTGGGGACGATGAACCGTTACACTGTCCTCCCGAAAGGAAAGGTTGCCAGATAAAACACAGGACACCGAATTAAATGTGAATTTCAGATAAATGACCAACGCTTTTTAAAAGATAATCATGTCTCAGATGTTGTGCAATATTTGATACTGAAGCAGGGAATACAAATATTGCGTGGGCAGTGCCCATATTAAAAAATAGACATATATGTGTGTTGTTTATCTGAAATCCGAATTCGACCGGGCACCCTGTGTTGTCGTCGTTGTTGTTTTCTTCCTAAACGTGGCAGCAAATGAGGAAATTTGGTCTTGTTTAGGCAGAGGAGCAAGGCGGTTTAGTTCTAGCTGGACCTTGGGAATGGCCTGGAAGCGTCCCCAGAGGTCAGGAGGGCTCAGGTGGCCCAGAAATGAGCCCCGGTGGAAGGGTCAGCCAACGTGGTTGTTGCAGGAACAAAAGTTAGAGTGGCCCTGAAGAGACACAGGCCTGGCCTGGGCTGTGGGGGAGGGACCCCAGCTCGCCTGAGGGTTCCTGGGGGGTGGGCGAGGGGGGCTACTGAATCTGAGCCTGGACCACGGGAGAAGGAGCGGTTTGGGAGGTGGGGGTGGCGGACACAGAGGGGAGGAGCGGATAAGGGAGGACTCCAACGCAGGAGGACTCAGAACGCTCCAGAGCCGGGGCTCCTTGTGTGTAAGGCAGGTAGTCCTTCCACAGGACCCTAGATCTAAGCCCTGGGGGGAATTGAGGGGCTCCTGGAACCCTTGTGCTCAGGGGGAGTGGGGAGGAGGTGGCTGTCGGGTACAGAGTGCATTTGGGGAGGATCCGGCCCCTGGAAGCGATGCCCTCTCCTCTCACCCTCCCCCCCATGATTGCTTCAAAGCCCTTTGCCTCCACTCCTCATCCTAAACTGAAGCTTGTTCTTGGGGGATTCACCTCGGGGATTTATTTCTGCAAAAATAATCTTTAACTCAGCCTTGCCTTGGACATTGGAACTTGCTCGAGGGAGGTGCTGAGCCAGCTTGTTTGAACACCCAGCCTCACTTCCCCTCCAAGCCAGGGACAGCGGCTGGGCTCCGCCTGGGGAAGGAATGTGCTGTTTCCTGACTTTTTTTTGCCTCCCCTGTGTGTGTGTTGGGGGGTGGGGGGTGGCTGGCCCTGTCGGCTGCAGCCCCATACTGGGCTGGGGGGCCCCACTCCAGGCTGGGAAGCCCTGTCCTCCCCTGCCTATGGGCAGGAGCGAGAGAAAGACCTCAGCCCGAGGTCATGGGACCTAAAGTTACATCATAGTTTCCAAACTCGCCTGGTCCCCGAGATCTCCTGGCTTCTGGTCTGTGATCTGCCGAGGCAGGACCCACAGCAATCTGTACTCGGACAAGGACCCTGGGGGATTCCTGTGATCAGACGAGCTTGGACAGCACTGCCCACTGCTTTCAAGGCCGCCCAACACACCAGGCCCAGCAGGAACCGTGACTGGACTCAGAGGCGCATCTGGCACCCCCTGGGGCTCAACACAGCCCTGGGCTTTTCCGAGGGCTGGGCCCGCCCTCCTGGTGTGCACACATGTACTAGAGGACAGTGGTTGGGTGTGAGTTCGGGGGGCACGGGGCATGGCAGGTGACTCTAGCATAGTGGGAGGGGTGGTGGCGGGGCAGAGATCTCAGCAGGAGGCAGTGGTAGCAGGTAAAGCGGGGGTCCCTCCCACTGGCCCTGTGAGCCCCCAGCTTGTGCACAGTCCAAGGGCAAGATGTCATCCAGGGCATTTCAGGAAGCATGGCAGGGACATCTTACAGACTCGCTCATGGCGAAGATGAGAGCAAAAGACAAAAAACAGGGCCCTGCGGCTTCGGTGCGGTCTCGTAGACACCGAATGTGGTCTTGGACAGCGTGGGGGGGAGGCTACAAAAAGACAGTTGGACAATTGGAGATACAGAGCCTGGGGCAGCCAGATAACACTCCAGAGCCGTCCGTCCCTCTGCCTTCTGACGGCGGGGCCTGGGGCAGCCAGGGAAAACCAAAGAACCGCAGGGGGGAGCTGGGTGAGGAGGGTGTGCAGCTGAGGGGAACGAACACCCCGGTCGGGACGGGGAACTTCAGAGGTGCCGGGAGGTATCTTGTACTCCCAGGGCTGAGCCACCACGGGAGCGGACCGACGGGTCTGGGCATAAATAGCAGGTGACAGGACAGGCTCATTATGAGTTTCTGAAAGTCAGGTGGTACGTTGGGACGCCGGGGTGGCTCAGTCGGTTAAGCGTCCGACTCTCGGTTTCGGCTCAGGCCGTGATCTCACGGTTTGTCAGTTCAAGCCCCACATCGGGCTCCGTGCTGTTGGCACGGAGCCTGCTTGGGATTCTCTTTCTCTGTCTCTCTCTCTCTCTGCCCCTCTCCCTGCTTGCACACTGTCTCTCTCAATCTCAAAATGAAAAACATGGAAGAAAACCTTCTAAGAGTTAAAGGGTTTGTTATTTACCAAAACCATTTTCACGTTTCCCCCTCAGTGCTTGCGCAGCTCTGTGAGTGGGACAGGATCAGCTCAACGCATCCGTTTCAGACTGGGAAACTGAGGCCCAAAGTGGCTAAGTGCCTTTCCTGCTGTCACATCCCACAATGTTGTCTGGTAGGGTGGGGCCGTGAATCCAAAGTAGCTAGAGCGGCACAGAGATTGGGAGAAAGGAGGGAGGTGCCCCTAGACGCCGCCTAGTTAGGGCT